TCCCTTCCTGTGTACTCCAGTTTAACTTCTTTCAAATTGAAGGGCTTTGTCTTCCTCTCTTGTTTTCTTTAGTAGCTAGAAGGAGACCTCCAAAGTCTAATTTGATCACTACTAGGATTCATCCTGCCCCCACACCTCTCACTGAATGCCTACAACTTTATGCTCTGCAGAACAAGACCAGTTCATTTGCACCGAGAAACAGTGAATAGCCTGACTAGTATGCAGCTAGTGAAGCTAGTGTCAGTTCAGGCAAGGACCTTGCATGGTCACCCAAGGTCTTTAGTTGGCAGATTATTGACAGTTTACAGTACCATCTCTCCTATATTAACCAGTAAATAACTGGGATACTTTTACAGTAGTAGAAGATGATTGAAACTGCCTGAATTAATTAGTCATCAAAGTTGGTATCACAAGAGGTGATTTCTAGATGAGTGGACAAGCTTCTTGGTGTGATATGATTAGTTAATCTTGTATCATATCAAGTGTGCAATTTCTGTTCAGCTCATCTGATCTGAATCTAAGAATCAGGTAAAGCCATTTCATTCAGATTTTGTAAGATAAGTTGGCCTAACAAAGCTAGTCTATGCTAAAAGTAGAGGGGACTAAAAATGTTTGTCACCCTAGTATGTGGTCTTTGATTCACTTTTGAATGTAATTTAGCAATAGTAGATGGGTGTGATCCTGGGATGGACCAGTTTTGGAGCATATGTATATATGCATGCTTGTATACATATGTGAATATGCATACATGTATTATTGGCAACATATTGAATTTCTCTGGGATGACACAAATGTTGACAAATTTGGGCTTTTGGAGATCATGCCTGTTGGGATGTTATTAGCTATGGAAGGGTTAGGATAACATTTTATCAAGGATTTAGCTACAGCATTAAGTAGAATTTATAAAGATAGAGTACAGATTTGATGAGTCTTGGGAGTAGATATTTGAAAGAATTCCTTGTTTATTTTTTTAAAAAAGCTTCATTAATTTCTAGTAAGAATATCAAGTATGAGGAATGAATTCCTCAGTGCTTATGTCCCCTGTCTTTTGCCCTTAGCCAGTTAGTTGGCAACAGTTGGGCTAAAGGAGGATAGTTTGCCTTTATTATCCTCCCATGTTATATGTTTGTGACCTGTGTTTTGTATTTTTTTTTTTTTTATGTTCTTGCCGTGATGGAATCATCTCCCTGTAATTCAGCTAGTGACACTGAAAATTACGTCCCTCCACCCAAGTCATATAATAAGTCCCATATGTAGTTTTGGTTGCCATTTAGTCATTTATATGTGTTTGTGAGGTGAGTGGAAATATGTCTTATGGATCTTGTTGGCAGTTCCGTCATGGGGAGCGTGGTGTTTGGATACTCCTCTTTAGCCCTGGCTTTTGTCTTCCTGTCTCATTCTTGTATTATAGTCAGTGAAGTAGTGACAAGCTCTGTATGATTATGATGCAGTGGGACCCTTGGCATCAATATGTTGCCCTGACTTTCTGTGCCAGCATTTCTTTGTAACTATTTCTGTTTCTTGATTCAAGCATGGGGAAGTTTAAAGTTCTATAACAGTTGCAAACTACTGACAAGAATAGATAAGTAGCCTGGGAGCAGACATATCTCTTCATCCTTTTGCTTGGGAGACCTAAGAACAAGTCCATGAGGTCCTTAGAGGATGGATGAATTGCCCACATTGCTGATGAGCTCAGCCTGACTCTTCTGAATGGTTGTCACTCTTCCTGTCCCCTCAGCACTAGTCCTTGGGATTGACTTCCAAATAACATGCATGCAGGCCTTGTGTCATGGGCATTGTTTCTCAAGGAAGGCAGACTTGGATAATGGGATCTTTCTAGTTATGAGTCAAGAGTATGGGAGCTTATTACAATGGTCACTTCATTTGAGTGCCTATGATATCTAGAACAGACACTAGACAGAGCATCAGGAGACTCGTCCTAGTTGGTCTTTAACCTCTGGGAAGTTATTTAACCATTGGATGACTGGCAGAACCACAATGAGAGTGTGCTATTAAGGCATGTTGGTAAGATTGTAGGATCCTTTCAGATACTGAGAATGGTTGAGAGTGTCAAGAAAGGGGTTTGTATGAGAACTTGGACAGAACTGCAGAGATGAAGCCAAGATACAAAAGAGACATCTGGGAGGGAAAAAGTCTCCTTTCCTTGTTCATAATGAGGATCAAAACTAGACTCAAAGCCATTATATGAGGTCAGGTAGGGCAGCTGGGGGTTGTTCCTGTAAAATCACAAGAATGAGTCTAGGGCTCGTTAGTCATTTGCTGCAGCTTAATCTGAGAAAGGGAAGTGGGGATAAGTCCCAGCATAAAGAAGAGCATAGGAGACTTGCTGGTGGAGGTCTACAAGCTTGGGCTGGTTGCACTGTGTAATTACTTGTTGCACTGTTTTGCTCATGTTAATCCTGTGACTTGAGTCTCTGTGGTTTGCATCCTGTGACTCAGAATATAAGCAGTTGGGTATTTTGTGCTATAGTAACGTATAGAAGTTGGACCTGATTATAACCTGTCTCTTTGCTGGTACCCCAAGGGAACACTTAATGAGTGATGCCTACCTCTAGAAGAAGAAGAATTAACAATAGCTATATTATACCTATTAATTTATAGTTACTGGTTGCTATAATTAATGGTATTTATGAAAATCATCGTAATTATAGCACTTACAATTTACAAAGTATGTTCCCATCCACTTTCTTATCTGAGTCTTTAACAGCTCCCTGGCTGAGGCAGGGCAGGTGGTTTTCTCTTTACTTTCTATGGCACAGAAAAGCATTTAACCAGACTTCCATCCAGTGTCCTTTCCAATTTGCTGTGCTAGCTATGTGTGTATTGATGTGTCCATCAAATTTCTGCAGATGGTAATTCGATGTCCACATACAGGAAAACCAAATTCACTGGTTCTCAGTTGCTGTCCTGTGGTGTGATGTGTCCTGCCTATTCATCTAGTGCCTGCTCTGGTTATGGCAAATGTTCTCTGACGTTTCAAAAGTTAAAGAGATGTTTTTCTTGTCTTTTCTTTCCTTTTTTTTTTTTTTTCTTTTTCTTTTTTTAAGATGTTGATACTATTGATCTGTGGGTAAAGATAAGACCCTGAGATAGAGACATCAGTATTATTTCTCTAATAAAAATTTATTAATCTTGATACTTTAGTTATGGTCCAGTAAAACGAGTCAGTGTTTAAATGCAATTGATGGGCAAGTCTGATGACCTGGGTTCTATTCCCAGAGCACATATAAAAGTGGGAGGAGAGAATCAACTCTACAGAGTTATTTTCTAACCTCCAATGCAGGCTATGGCCTGAAGATGCCTATGCATGTGCCCACATGAGAGCATGTGCTCTCTTTCTCTGTCTCTCTCTCTGTCTCTGTTTGTCTCTCTCTATCACACACATACACACACCTCACACTAATAATAAATAGAATAAAATAAGATTAAAAGGTTGAATAAGGCTGAAACTGAGATCCCAACAAAAACCCATCCTACCTATTTTATCTTTTTCCAGTGTGAGCTGGGACAAAGTTCGGAGGGTCTGAGGGTAATGTTTCTGTTTCATAAGTCCAACCTTTGAAGTGCATGCTCCCCAGCCTGCTACTCATTAGAATAAATGTACTCACAGCCCCACCTACTCTGAACCATTTGATTTCTATTTCAGATCCTATAGTAGAGTCCTTCATGCTTTCTGGTATACCTAATGTTCCTACCCAAAAGGCGTTGATACGAGAATGGAAGTGGATGAAAATCCTCGGAATATTGACAGTTTCATTATTCATCTATAATTCTTTTAATGCCTACTAAAACATTTACACAGTTGATGCTGTGGGGAAGACTGTGGGGAAATAGTCTGACCAAAACAAGTTATATCTTATTTTCACCAACCTAGCATTACTGTAATCACGAGAAGGGCGGTATACAAATGGATGTAAAAGATGTTTGGATGGTAGTTGATATGACTGAACAAGAAAACAGAGCAAATTGAGGGGGTAACATGACAGAGTAGTCTCGGCAGTATATTCTGAGCTGCATAATCATTAGATGCTCACTTTAACAACTTGCTAACAGGTACCCATGTTTAAAGAGGCTCACATAAAAGGAGGTAAGGTGAACATCTAGGGTAGGATCAATGGAGCTGATTCATAATTTTCAATGCACTTGTAGCTGACCTTTCCAGTTTGCCTGATGTAAACCCAGGACTTTGGGGGCTTAGCTTGTGCTAACTATCTTTTCATTGTGATGACCAGTGCATCAGACTCTAGTCATGTGCTTTGCCACATTTAAATAACTTCTAAGACTCATGGGAAGTAGCTTGGAGGGAAAAGTACTCAGAAATAAGTATGGGGGGGTTGGAAAATAGTCAAGGAGTGAACATGTAAATATTTTTGAGGGCATGTGACATTGGTGAAAGTCCCATTGTCCCTGCTCCCTCGAACATACTCCACACACTCAGTAGGCCTGCTTCCTGTGCAGTTCTGTGGCCAGTGTCCTAAGTGGCCTTTTTCTACTTCATATTTTATGAGCTTTGCTTAAACTCCACTCATATGTATGTGCCAACTACCACTGACCAGATAACATACAGTTTCACACTTCCAGGTGCCAAGTATTGAGTTTTCTTTGGGGACACAGTGGCCCCTCCTTATATCCATTACCTCTCCAGTAAAGCATCATCCATGACTTCTGAGTGTGGAGGACCTCAGTGGTTCTGGTCCTTCAGTGCAGGCAGCTGGGCACTAATTTCTTCTACTTAAATCAGAGTGTCTATATATATGACTTTAGAGAACAACATTTCAAGATTTTTTTTTCCTGTTTTCTTTTCTGTCAAAAAGTGATGATTTTCTTCATGACCACCTTATTAAGATTTGATTTTACAAAACAACATTTTTTTAAAGGCATATAGGAAACAGTACAAAAGAGCAAATTTTAGCATGAGAGATTTGAACTCATAATGTTGTAAACAGGTGTTTATTGAATTTCAATGTGTATGTTTTTAGCAGGGAAATCCTGGAGGCAAGACCCTGGAGGAAAGGCGGTCCAGTCTGGATGCCGAGATCGATTCCTTGACCAGCATTCTGGCTGATCTGGAGTGCAGCTCACCCTACAAGCCTCGGCCCCCACAGGTGTGTGCCATTCACAGCATCACTCCAGCCAAGGGCCCTTCTCTATCAGGAAAATGAAGTGTGTCTTAGAGCCTCTCATTCTTTTCTTCAACTCCTTAAACCAGTGGTCCAAGGTGCACCCCACCCCAATCTGATAAGACCTCACTGTGTACCATAAGGCACGGCCTTTCTGTACCATCTCCTAAGTGCATTCATTACAGGCATGCACAACCTTGCTAAGAACTGTTAGTCTTTATTAACTCTCAGCTCATGCTAGATAACCAGCAGTAACTTCTTAAACTTATGTATTGTTGGCGTCTTCCTTAAAAGCGACAGAGTGTGGCTTCACAGGGTGTTAGGGGACAGCACAGCTCATTGCATTGCTGTTCAATTTTCTTGTGCCTGTCTTTGTGAATATCCGCTTATACACTGATGTAGTCTTCACATGTATGTCTTGGAATGCATGTGTGTATAAGCATGTTGAAGAAGCAATGAAGAATTTTTTTGTTGTTGTTGCTATTAATAGTAATGTCAAATGCTACAAAGGACTTGAGACTGCTAACAGTGTGATTCCCACACTAAAGAGAAATACAGACTTCTTTATGTTTCTATCCTCCCCACTCCTCCCTCCCTCTTTGTGACTGCTCTTGGCTGGCCTGGAACTTACTATACAAGTAAGGCTGGTTTTGAACCCATAGAGCTACCTCTCAAGTGCTGGTACTAAATGTATTTGCCACCACACCTTACCTATTGGAAGTTTGTGGATACTGGTACAGATATCTGGCTAAGTCAGTTTCTCCCCAGATTCACAGGAATTAAGTGAAATTAATGTTTGTGTCTTTAGGGCTGATGGTACACTGTTACATTTTCCTTTCCTATTTTTGCTTACTTTAGAGCATGGATTTTTTTTTTTCTTTTGCATTTTCACTTATTAGCTGCATTTTTGAGGCTGGTATTCGCTTGGCTAAGTATTGAAAGTACCAGATTAATTTCAGGGCTCCATGTTAACAGGATTCTTAGATGCTGAAGTTAGGTAGGTCCTTTTGCCACTGTGTGGTTTGACCCTAACATGCTTTTATTTTTCTAATTGACAGTACATACATCACAGTGTGTCCCACTCTTACTGGTGAACAGGTGCCATTGTATTGTCAGTGTTACTTTAACAAATTAAGGAGCAGTCCAGCTTCTTGTGTTGTCAATCATTCACTGCTTATCTTCATCTAAGATTGAAGTGTTCTTTTTGGGCACACCCCTATCACTTCCCTATGCATATAATGAGACTGGCAGTTGTATTGGGGATAAAAGGCAAATCAGACAAAAGATGAACTCTTGTGTGTCTGTGTTGTGTCCACCAGACCTGGCAATACACATGTTCTTCATTTCTTATTCATTGGCTGAACTTTGTATGGAGAGCAGGCATGGTGGCTTTTGTGGTTAACAGGAAAAGAAAGTGCATTGTTGGGAGCAGAGAGGGCCTGGTGGTTGTTGTCTAGTAGCTCCTGGCACTGTGTAAGATAAACTGCAGCTGCCATGGCCAGGGCACAGTAAGACAGTGATAGAATTTTAAGAGGGAGTCAGAATTTGAACAAACTTCCCAAGTGATTTGCAAATTCTGCTAGACTGGGTAGAGTTGTGTTATTAGAGATCCAGTTGATGGTAAGTCCTTCAAGCACATGAAGCTATGGAGAACCACTCCACCAATGACTTGCCTTAACCTTGATGTCCTGGATACATTTTTATGCTAAACTGAGGTTGTAGCTTGTCAGTTATAGAAAGTAGAACATTTTAGAAGTGTATCAAGTAGGGGAAAGCTAATATGTATTCTAAACAGAAATGCTGGAAACAAGACTAGCTCCTGAGATGCAGGGGAACAGACTGAACTCTTCCTGGAAATGATGCTTGCGGAATCATCTGACTTTTAAACAATTTTATATTTCTAGCTCATCAAACAAATGCCACATGCCTTGTTTCTCAGGACAGCAAATATATTTCTTGCCACTAGACTCAGCTACCTTCTACAAAATACTGCTATGCACTTGTTTTCAGCAGGATTTTGTTTAGTCTTTATTTTTCACTCCTGGAGACTTCTTATTTTCCCTTCCAATTTCCTTATATTGAAAATTTTATTTCTCATAATATTGATTGTAATTTACTCTCCCCTAACTCCTATGAGATTCTTCCTACTTTCCCTCCTATCTGAATCATCTGTCTCTCACCTCCTCCTTAGAAAGCAAATATCAAAAGAATAGTAATAAAATTAAGATAAAGCAAAAGCAAACAGACTGGAATAGGACAAAACAAAGATAAAGCATAAGAAATACACATAGACTCAGAGACACATATATTCATACACATGGGAATCCTATAAAAACGCAGCACTGGAAGTCATAATATGTATGCAAAGAACATGAGAGAGAGGTGGGGTGGTGGGAGAGATGTCTATCAAAACAGTGTGAAACAATGAAGCTCCAAAGATGCTGTTGTGTGGATAAAAAGTTCTGCTGGGTATTTTCTCCTTGACATGGGTTTTCTTCTTTAGGTCTATGTCCAGACATGCCTACAATCAAAATTAGTGCATTTGATTGGTCCATTTAGCTGTGGTCTTACTGTCTGAGTAATCTTACTGTGTAAACATACTCACAGTCACTGGCAGTGTGGGCAGCAGTTTAGTGATTGTGAAGCACATACTCATGTTTTCTCACTTGGGGCATCTCCTCTCTGACACAGATACACACTTCTTTTCAGACAGAGCTACCAAGAGTTATCCGGTAAATAACTTACATTTTTTGACTACTGTGAGAATACAGCTGGACCCAAACCTTACAGTTTTGATTGACTGCATGTTCTAAAACTAGATGAAGACTTAGGTTATTACTTATTTTTAATTTTTTTTACTGTTGGAATAAACATCACGAAATCAGTAATCTAAATGCAATTGTTCTTTACGAATCACTTTCCCATTAAAAAGCAAAACATTCATGAGGTTAAAATAATAATTAGGATGACCTCAATGCTAAATAATTTCATAATTAGGTTGAAGTGTACATTCTGTGTGTCTGTTCCATTCTCAAATCAAAGGTTGGTCTAGTCTATTCTTTTCAATTATTCTAATTTAGGAAAGCAAGAGTTAATTAGGAGCTTCAGTTCCTCCTGAATTATCTTCACTCCCGTGGAACTCAAGTAGATGTGTTAGTATTTATTGGCTAACATAATTATATGCTGTGAGAACAATAATCACACACGTAAATATTAAAATATGTGCCAAGAGCAGATGTTTTCTGCTGGAAACAGTGTTGTTGTGTTGAAGCTAAAAGGCACCTGAAATATCCTCGAAGAATAGACTTTCATATCTAACTTTGATGTTTTCTATTTTTGGGGCAAGCCAAATTTCAAATTCCAAAGCAGGTGAGTCGCATGACTACCTCTAGTAGGTTACTAGGTCTGTGGTTGCTCACTGTTCAAACGCTCTGTGTGTTTTCCCAGTTGTTTCTGAATCACCTTTGTATGGCTACTTTGACTCATGATCTGCAAACCTCGTGAGTCACCTGACTACCTCTAGTAGGTTACTAGGTCTATGGTCCCTCACTTTTGACACGCTCATTGTGTTTTCCCAGTTGTCTCTGAGTCGCCTTTGAATGGCTACTTTGACTTGTGATCTGCAGAACATACTGCATAATGTATAATGTTTCTTTAGGAAGAGGGCCCAAAGAACATAGTCACATAACTATTCTGAGAGTGCTCTGCTCTTGACAAAGTTTGCCAAAGCATCTTTCTTTTCATTTTTTAAAGAAGTATCTTTCATCTTCATGTTGCCCAATGTTAGATATACTTACTTTTTCATGCTTATGTGTCTTTGGACAATGTAGCTTAACTCTATATATTGAAAATACAAAGGTATGCATGACCATGTCCTTGTAGAGAATCACTAATCTTTTATGGCAGAGAGAAAGAGGCATCATCTAGAACAACACAAAGAAAGACGTCACTGTGCTCTTTATATTGTCATGTGCCCCCCCCCCATGTGCTGAAACTGTTCAGAGACATTGTATAAAAAAGTCAAACAGAATGTTAGCAATGTACCTTTTGAAGTCAATGGGACCCCACCACACAGGCAGTCATGTGTGGTCTTGTCTGCATCTGTGCTGGGAAGGACACTGAATTTCAGAAATTATAACAGTGGTGAAAGTGGATATCCTGTTTGAAGCATAGATTATTTCTAATAGCAATAGGAAGTATGTGGGATATAAAGGAGAATGACAGATTTCAAAAACTCTGATGAGCTTAGTAGCACTATTATTATTACATAAAGCTCTTACAGTAAAGAGGACAATTTTAGTAGGAGAGCATCTGGCTAGATGTAATACCTTTGGTTAAGTTTACATCAGATACACAAACACACACACACACATATATGTATATCATACATATAGATAACATTATATATATTTGTCATATTATAATTTATAAAATATTTTAGCAAAATTTACATGTTATATACTATATATATGTAACATATAAACTGTAAAAATCAATACAAAATACATTTGGCAAAGTTTACATAATGTATATAATTTATTGACTATATGTAAAACACCTTTTCCAAAATTTACATGATGCATTGCACAAACGCACTCACACACAAACATACAAACATATGCATGATATTGCATGAAATTATACACTTAAACATCTTAGTGTTTAGAATAAAAACTTATAAGCATTTCAGTATTAATAGAGAATAATCTTAGAAGAGTAGTCATGAGAATTTGACAGGAATTCTAGGTGAACTACAGCCCAAGATGATCAAATAGTAAGTGCCAGGGCTTATTTGGCTCTTAGATAATGCATAAGTAAAGAGTTTTTGTCCACACAAGGAGAGACCATGCTCCTAGAAGGCTTACTTCGAAGCAGGATAAAGAACTATTTTCATTTTTTTCTGACCCACAATTTAGCAGCTCTCTGTGTTGACAAGCATAATTTCCATTAATATCTTCATCTTATTTGAAAAATTCTATGTTTGT